AAGCTCGTCTAACATTGAAGTTCTAACAGTGAAATTATTTTCACGTGATTGAAATTCGATTCTTGTTGGCACCAGCCGCCACATCTGTCTCATCGTGTGACAACTGGCAATAGAATACTATTTAAAGTTTAATTGAAAGGACGAACAATAATAAATCATAGCATATGTTTTCTGTTCTTATATTCAACCGCTGACGCCGTATTTATTATATGGACATGGTGGCCTGCCTGCTATTACGCCGCTTGAATATACCGACTACCACTCGCTGTCACACAATCAGATATGATTATGAACTTCAGATAAAACTTAAATCTTGGATTTTGGAAGATCGAATATTCCTTTTTTAATCCCTGAAACAACATTGTTTTGCCTCCGGTTGTCCTGAATATATTATATACAGTACACTACTTTTATAACGAGCACGCTTATAACGAACTGACGGATATAGCGAACATATTGTTTGGTCCCAGTATATGCTTATAAAAAACTACGGTTATATCGAACTAATATCAGTGGTCCCTTTGAGTTCGTTATGACCATAGTTTAGGCCATCACCTTTGTTTGTTTGTTTGTTTGTTGTTTAACGCCACACTCAGCAATATTCCAGCTATATGACGGCGGTCTGTAAATAATCGAGTCTGGACCAGACAAGCCAGTGATTGATACCATGAGCATTGATCTACGCATCACCTACTACGACATCAACATATTATTGAAAGGTCGGCCACAAGGCATTACCATTGGATTTCGCTTCCATATACAATTTAGTCTTCTATGTTGCAGCCTTAAGAAGGGACATTGAAAACAAGAGGTCATGTTGCTGCAAATTTAAATGGTGAGTTCTTGCACAGGAAATCCCAATTTACAATTTTATACGGTTTTATGTGACATAATTGCAACAATAGATTGAATGAACTAAAGTGTCCACATCCACATTTCCAAAAGAGTGAGTGAGTGAGTGAGTATGGTTTTACGTCGCTTTTAGCAATATTCCAGCAATATCACGGGGGGGCGGGGGGGGGGGGGGCTTTACATATTGTACCCATGTCGGGAATCGAACCCGGCTCTTCGGCGAGACGAGCGAACGCTTTAACCCTTAGGCTACCCGACCGCCTAATTTCCTAAAGAAATATACCATGGATCATATGGAATATACCACTACTCATTAATCGGTTCTCGTGAAATATTTGTGAAATTCCCTCGCCAAGTTTGGTATTTAATAACCTCTGTTTGGAACAGATACTTCGTAATTCTTACTAGAATCAACAATCCAAACGTTTAACATTTTCAGGTTTGATAAATTTGAAATACGGATCCAGAAAAGCATTGAAAATCTGGAGATATGTCGAGATGGTCCGACAACTAAACCCACACCTGCTGAGGTTCCATCTTCAACAACGCCTACCACAACAACATCAACAACATCATCAGCTCCTGCAACAACACTAACAACATCAGCGACTACGATATCAACAGCTAGTACGACTACATCAACATCAGCTACAACAACACCAACATCAGCTACTACGACAACACCAACAACATCAGCTACTACAACAACACCAGCGACAACTACACCTACAACATCTACTACGACAACACCAACAACATCAGCTACTACGACTACACCAACAACATCAACTACAACACCAACACCAGCGACTACTACACCTACAACATCTACTTCGACAACACCAACAACATCAGCTACTATGACTACACCAACATCAGCTACTACAACACCAGCGACTACTACACCTACAACATCTACTACGACAACATCAACATCAGCTACTACGACTACACCAACAACATCAACTACGACGAGAACATCAACATCAGCTACTACCACAACACCAACAACATCAGCTACCACGACTACACCACCAACATCTGCTTCAACTACGACACCAAAAGCACAACTATGTAATAACACTTTATCAGGACTTGTTTCATACTTGTTTTCATAGTGTGTGTGTGTGTGTGTGTGTGTGTGTGTGTGTGTGTGTGTGTGTGTGTGTGTGTGTGTGTGTGTGTGTGTTTGTGTGTATGTATATAGTAGTAGTAGTAGTAGTAGTAGTAGTAGTAGTAGTAGTAGTAGTAGTACCCTTGTCATCACCGTTGTCATAATCATTATTATTTTTATTATCCACAGTGTGTGGAGCCATAGGAGGATCATGTCTGTTTACCGTCGAGGATGATTGCATCGATTTTGGAGGACAAGTGGATCAAGGACGGGTGTGCCTAGGCGCTAATGTTTGCTGTGTATTTTAGGCACAGAGGTATTATCACTGCATCTTTTCTGGCGACGAAAAGGTCACGGGGCCTTCGTCATCTAGATTACGGAATTTTTGGTGTCTAAATGTATGTTCAAACGGTCGACCTGGCAAAGCAATTCATAAAAATAAAGTCAATTTTAACATTTTAATATTTGTTTATGATATGTCGTTTACGTCTTGTCGTCAAAGGTTTGACGCAGTTGTGATCTATTGTCGTTCTATGTTCCGCCGGTATCGGGTTCCAGTCCAAATTCTTATGACTCTTAATTTATCAGGATCCTGCTTGTGATATAACTAAAATACTGTTCACCGTGGCGTAAAATTCAGTCGCTCACTGCCTCCTCCAAAGGGCCTCAGTGCTCTGTGCTCAACCTCTGTTATCTAGGGTATTATATCTATCACATTAAGTCCCGTGGACCCTATCGCCACCATAGCTTCCCATCTGTCTGATCAATGACCTAGCTTTGAATCTATCTCGCTCATGAGATTTATTATTTTGGACTGCTATTGTAACGTCATATCACTCGAATCGGACTCAAACAAACGAAGATATGGCAGCAAATGTGTCAAGGGTCTTAGCATTCCAGAATGGAGGTTTAATTCACTGGATAATCGAGGATGATATCCGCTTGCGATTCCCCTGTAGCGATTCCGGATAGCCTCGGTATTACATACTGAGACCGGATAAAAGGTTACTTTACTTGCTTGTAAATGTTGCAAATATGACTGTTACATATGTAGCGGCTATACAATTTACGAGTCCCGTGATGGGATTCGAACCACGGACCTTCTGATCCGAGGTCGGACGCCTTGTCCACATGACCAAAGAGGTTAACCCCGTCAGCAAGCTGACAAAGTAAGGATGTCATCTGTGGGATGACTCCACCCCCTGCTACACATACATTTACATAAATTTATATATTAAATTAACCATTAATACATTTCCATATTAAACTTATGTCTTAATTAAGAATTTGTTTCAAAAGTTTTATTGCAGTGTGATGAGCGCCTTACACTGCGAATGAGGCAAATTACATCGGTCGCTCTTATTATTGTTTGATCACCCTCGATGAAAACCCGTCAGGATACGGGGTCTTGGTGATACAATGTGCAAAACATATTCCAAGAAAGACCTCTTCATGATTCACACTGGGAGTGAGTGAGTGAGTGAGGTTTTACGCCGCTTTTAGCAATATTCCAGCAATATCACGGCGGGGGACACCAGAAATGGGCTTCACGCATTGTACCCATGTCGGGATTCGAACCCTGGTCTTCGGCGTGACGAGCGAACGCTTTAACCCCTAGGCTACCCGACCGTCCCCATCACGCTGGAAGTATAACAGCATATATCCCGACAGATCACAGTTACTGTTTTAATTGTGTTTCATGTGTTATTAAGTTGTCATCATTTTACGGTTTTACTTGAAGTGGCATAACATATAGCCCTCCTTTAAGCCAACAACATGTCCTACTTTTATGAATTGACGACATGGTTTCTGTAGTCAAAGGCTGTCGCAACATCTTAGAGCATAGGCGCCTTTAAATATACAGATACGTTTTACCATTGAGTTATATATCTTAACACTCTATAATTGATTGTTTGTTAATTATGTATTTTATATTTTATGATATGACTATGAGTGGTTTTATCATCTCTCATAAATCGCGTGGCGTTGGTCGCAATTACGTTTTACTGGTTTGTATGTAAAATACAGCTATGTTATATGCATCTTCCCGAGGCAAGGGAGTTAACTGACTATAAAAGTCCAGTTTCCACCCTTGCCGAGCTAGGATGGTATTAAGGAGTTACATTTTGTCTGGACTAACGAGTCTACTCATAGTCCAATCAAAATCGTGCAACAAAATCGAAATCCGGTTCGTAAACTGTCGTGCAAATTTCGGTCGATTGCAGGATTTACAAAGCATGTGCCCCACCAACTCGTTGTCAACAGATATTTTCCAAATCTTTTCATGTTTTTAATCAAGGTGCTCACGTGATTTGATGCACTTCGCGATGGAAGACTCGTTTTATCACAATAAAGATCTTGATTATCGACCAGATCGTCTTGACTGGGCGCCACTGTTTTGTTTAAAGCAAATGCAAGTGATACGAGAGGTGGAATCTGATTGGTATAAAGGAGAGGCTTAGAAGGGACAGAACTTGCAATAGCCACTGGTGGCGCTGTGATAGAGCCCAGGAATTCCAGCCTAGTTCGGCAAGGGTGGAAACTGGACTTTTAAAGTTAGTTAACTCTCTTGCCTCGGGAAGATTTGTTATATGTACCTCCGAGTGAAATGAAAAAATAAATATTCTGTCTGTTTGTCAGTCAAGAAATATAACCCTGGTTGATGTAACGCCCTTGTCCCTCCTGGAACGTAAAGACGGATACAGCACAGAGGATGGACAGTTTGTTCGGTTTTATCCCCAAAACACCCGCAAAAACTGACTACAATCGGTGAATTTACGTCTAGTTAACATGGGTATGATGGGTAAATATGGGTTTATTGTTTAACGCAGCACTCAGCAATATTCCAGCTATATGACGGCGGTCTGAAAATACCCGAGTCTGGACCAGACACTCCAGTGACTGACATCACCAGCATCGATCCACGCAATCCGAATACGATGACATGCATCAACCACGTCGGCGAGCCTGACCACCTGATCCCGTTAGTCGTCTCTGACGACAAGCATAGTCGCCTTTACGGCAAGAATGGGTTACTGAAGACCTATTCTACCCCGGATCTTCACTGGTCTGATGTCTAAATGTCTAAATGTCTAAATGAGTAAACGGGTAACATTCGCTACCATCATTTTCTTTCTTAGCCCGTTTCAAATAGCATAATGCTACAAATGGCTGCCTAATCAAATTACTCCGGCGAACGAGAGGAAGTCTGTACTATAGGCGTTACGGAGACTGTGACGAAGCTACGTAGGAATGCTTTCAGGATATATATCCAACCAGAATAGAGATACGTGTGCAGTTCACTGGAACGTCGAGGATGATGGCGAGGAGACACAAATCCACTGTATACGTTCTAAATGTTTCATATGTAATCAAACGTCCGAGTCCTCGTGTCACTGTCAGTCTACACTCACATAAGGTAGCATCCTGAGTGCACTGACTTAAGATGTTCATACACCAAATAATGTTCTTCATCTTTGGCTACTCTCGCTGCTGTTTTGCCACTCCTATTCTTGACGTTGATGAGCGCAGTGTTGCAGTGGAGGACGTATTCAGCAATGTCATCGTGTCCTCCTCGACAGGCATAATGCAGAACGGTGTCACCCTCATCATCCACCATCTGTAGATTAGACCCCCTACGGAAAAGCAACTTCACGACCTCCGTATACCCCCAGCGTGCTGCAGACATTGATGGTGTCATCCCCGACTTATCTGTACAGTTGACGTCAACGTCGTCCTTAGAGAGGACACACTTGACTATATTTATATCGCCTCCACGACAAGCTGCGTGAAGAATGGTGTCACCACCTTTCTCCACTAAAGTCAAATCTGCTCCTTTGCTGACAAGATACTCCACAACATCTCTGTGGCCTTGGTACGCAGCCATCATCAGACCTGTTCTCCCGTTACCGTCTTTCCCGTTGAGGTTTCCCTGATCACCGGACAACAAACGAGCCACTCGGCCTACATCTCCCGCCTTGCACGCAGCATGGAAATCAATGTCTGTTTGACGTTTGTCGGATGAAGATTTTGTCATTGCTGAAATGGGACCATTTACTCAAGGGTTAAAATGCGATTCAACTGAAAGATTAACAATGTTTTTTTGAGTGTTGTAACAGTGTCATGATTGCGCATATAGTTTTGTGATCAGCCAGTTTTTTCCTTCATTTGGTGATTTGTGAGAATGTTTAACGAGGAATACCGATCGGGAATCATATCTAGGCTGTCAGCGCAAGACAAACTGAAATAAGAGAAGTTTGCATTTGCATTTTTCATATTAATTCTTGTCGACAAGGATAATAATCTATCCTGAAAATCTATTTGTTGATATAATTAGGACTGTTTATGGACATGAATAAGGAGTCTGACGATTAGGTTGGGAAGAACCGTGCATCTATCATGGTAGTTAACAAAAATGATTTCGAGTGTTGTGATGTTGTCTGTAAATAATAGAGTCTGGACACACAAGTGAGTGACATCATGAGCATCGATCTAGGCAATTGGGATACGATGACATGCATGAACCAAGTCAGCGAGCCTGACCACCCGATCCCGTTGGTCGCCTCTTACGACAAGCACAGTCGCTGAAGACCTATTCTGACCCGGATCTTCACGACTTTCCAGTGTTGTCCAGTCACGTTGCTAAAATATTTCTCACCTTTACCGTGCTGACCAGCGCCCAGTGTTGTGTGGATACTTTCTGATGCTTCCCCATTCGCTTCTGTCCTCTGATCATTTGACACTGAGGAGTATAGAAAATAGTTGTTAAAAAAGGAAAGTTTTTTTCCATTGTGACTGTAAACCCATAGCTGGTGTCCTCTGTCATGAAATGGCTGGAATATTTCTAAAAGCGGGGTAAAAAACATCTCACTATTGTGACACAGTTCAACAGTTTCAGTATTACACATTGTGTTTGCAAAGCGTGCTATTATGTTTTACTGAACCATTCAATAAATACAAATACATTGCAACAACGAAAATACTCTGATAACAATATTACAGCTCACAATTACACACCTCAAATGTAGTGCATAATTTCCGCGTATGTTTCATAACACCACTTCGATCTAGGCGTTATTCGTTTCTCCTTCAAATTGGGAATACAATTTAGCTATTTATAATGCAACTACGATAATGGTCTATTACGTTAGAAAGCAAGGAAGCAAAAGGGAAGGTTTCAAATGCTTCAGTTAAAGAAGGTTTCAAATGCAAGGCCTGAGTAAAGTTTTCAAAGAATTTAATGGTACACATGTGGAAGACATTTCCAAATGTAATATATAGAATATAGTTTGAATCGTACAATAGACCCGTTCTCGTAGGTTTTACTTTAGTGCTACACGTCTATTACATCAGGCCTTCCTAACACATCAAATCAAAGTGAGTAAGTGAATATATTGCTGTACGCCTCTGTTAGCAATATTCTAGCAATATTTCGGCGAGAGACACCAGAAATGGGCTTCACACATTGTATCCATGTGGGGAATCAAACCCGGGTTTTCGGTGTGAGGTGCAAACGCTTTAACCACTAGGCTACCCCACCGCCCCTATTGTTCAAATCAGTATTGCACCTAACTCCCTCACACGCTCTTGATAAATACGATAAATGTCTAATTAGGATACTTGAAAGAATAATGTTTAAATGTTCGAACCTAGCCTTAGACTATGATGTATTTTTTTCTCTAGGGTCTGGGAGAAAGACTAGGCCAAAGCGACCAGTATATGTGAGGCCATACCAGAGAAACATTACAAGTAGACGTCAATATGACTGTATGTAAAAGATTTGCCAAAGAACCTTTAGTTGAATACGATAACACACTTATATATTTCCCTAAGCTTTCACAGATCCGTGTTCATCAAATTAAGGAAAACAGTGAGATGAATAAAGAGCATTATGATGACATTTTTGTAGCGAGGACGCACTGAAACCCAAATCTCCCCAGTTGGCAGGCTAAAAAGGAATATGTTTGTAGGGCATCAGTGTGTCAGTCAGTACTTTAATTTCATATAACATTAATAATTTTCAAATACCCCGCGTCATATAAAGCAAACTCAGTCATGAACTTACATGTTTTACTTGTTTTACGACACCCGAGTTCGATGCCCAGTTGTGTTTCAATACAATTATGATATATAAGTCCTTCCTCCCCCTTCACCATTGAGCAATATGTGTCTGAGAAACATTAAACGTTTGTATGCAGACTAATAATATATAGTTAATCACCTTGCTTATATACTGTGGTTTCATGCCTATTATACTGCCCACATCCTTCAGCAATGATTGTATGCTGTCCACTCCCTCCTCCACCAGCTTGTGCACGTCCGGTACCAGGTCTGCTTCCTACTCCACTCGCAGTCCCAGTCCCAATGACAGGTCCCCTCTCTACTCTTGCAGGAGGTCCGCGTCCAATATCGTCTACTCTACCTAACGTAGCAGTAGTTTCTGTTCGATTAGTTTGTCCACTTTCTGCTCCAGAAGATGTTGTTTCAGCACCGTGTAAACATCCTACTGTAGCAGTAGCTTTTTTTCTTATACCTTGGGCACTACTTTCAATACCAAGTGAACTCCTTACTGCATCACTCGTTTCATTTTCAATAGCTTGTGAACTCCTAACTGCATCACTCGTTTCATTTTCAATAGCTTGTGAACTCCTAACTGCATCACTCGTTTCATTTTCAATAGCTTGTGAACTCCTTACTGCATCACTCGTTTCATTTTCAATAGCTTGTGAACTCCTAACTGCACCATTCGTTTCATTTTCAATAGCTTGTGAACTCCCTAATCTGGCAGCAACTTCTTTTCTAATCTTCTGTTCGAGCACGTTGCCTACACCCCCGTAGACAATCCCTGCCGCGTTAATATGGGTGGCATTGCTATGTATATGAATGGCAATAGGTCCCCTGTGGTCATCAATACCCGCCATGTCTCTCGTGGCTTTGTCTCATCAAGTGGTCACGTCCTGTAAGAACAAGATGAAACCGTACATATAGTAACTTTTACAGTATGTTATTTGTCAACATCTCCAGTGAGTGAGATAGTTATGTTTATCCCCCGTTCAGTTCATTCATTAAAAATGGGGACGATGTGTGGGAGGAGAACCCAAAGGGAGGAACATCGTGGACTACTTTTGTGACATCCAATCGGGTCTGGACCAGACAATCCAACGAATGACATCATGAGCATCGATCCACTCAATTTGGATACGACGACGTGAATCAACCACGTCAGGAGCCTGACAACCCGATCCCGTTGATCGACTCTTGGTAATTGTGAGAGACTAATTATCCATGGATTTTACACGAACAAATTAAGATGGGGTAGTTTTAAAATTAATACACAAAAATGGACAACGCAGTACACAATAGAGTGGTAGTACACGATCCAATGCCAATATATAATGGCAGTGGTCAGAATCAGATACAAAAATACAGTGTTGATAGGAAAGAGTCGTAGAATAATATATGTTCACCCAGCGGCGACAGTGGCCAAACCTCCGAGAAAGGCTAGGCAGTGAATCAGGGATGACGAGTGATCCTCACATGAAAGCTGATTTCGAAGGGATGAAATGCGTGAGATCCGCGAAAACACGATCTTCTATACAACTTACCTAGCTACTAGTTTATACTGTGCCCTCACAACAAAGAATATTCCACGTGTTTCTATAACATACTATAACCTTAAATCGTTCCGGGTCCGGACGTTTACACATCACACTAGCCATTCAATTCGTCACTACTCGCCCCTTTCCGTAACCTGCGAGAAGACTCGCCCCCCAAACGATGCATGTTATGTGCGAAAATACCACAAACCAATCAGAATGCGCGTATGGTTTTAAGTTCTTTGTCAACAATCCCTCAGAAACAATTTTTGATTTTACATATGTCTTGCATCTAAAAATATACCCAAGACACAGATAAATGTGTTCAACAATACTGTGTCATAACGCATGTCCCGATGTGCTTTATATTACATCTGAAATATATATATAATATATGGGCATCGGCAATATTTCAGCCATATCGTGACGATATAATATATGGGGAAATATATGTGAACAATTACGCAACGATTTGACAATTGTTTTAGGTATGCCCGTTTGCGCTAAGACGGAACCCAGTCGCAAAAATGGCCATGAGGGGAGCACGAGTCGCTATTCGGCTTGTCCCGGAATAACACGGGATGGCTTTATATGTGCCTCTATGCCTAATAATGAAATGACACAAGTAAGTAAAACTATATAATACGCACACAGACATGCTTTCTCTTTCTCACACACAGTCACACACACAGTCATATAAACCTAATATTAATATGCACTACATCAGTACATATTTACTAGGGGTAGCCTAGTGGTTAAAGCGTCACCCGACATGGGTACAATGTGTGAAGCCCATTTCTGGTGTCCCCCGCCGTGATATTGCTGGAATATTGCTAAAAGCGGCGTAAAACCATACTCACTCACTCACTCACATATTTACTAACACTTTCATAGAACTATGTACATAATCACACAAGACTTAGTGTACTAAAATACTGTACAATATATTATTACATTTATAGCTGTAAGCTATAAATTATTGCTAATGAGAAATGTATTCTAACAGATACAGCTACAAGCTATAAACTATATAAATTACTGAAAGCACCTTATAGCAATATGGTTGCTTAACACTAATTACACTATATTATAATTGGTTACTCTAGCCATGACTCAATATCACAGTACACACTAATGTATCATGACTTTGAAGAATAACTAATATATTTACAAAATTGAGTATCACGTGGATTTAGAACTTGACCGATGACAAAGTAGACACAATTTATGAACCCCCTTTCAAACCTCTGGTTAAAATGTCAGCGGGATGAAACACGGACTTTTCTCTCCAAGGGCAAAACTACTCCACTGTAGCCAAGCGTCAGATCGCCAACGAGATACTGAATAAGTATATCCACGTTCGCCTGACACTGTCACACAAGCGTTCCTATTGTATTCGTGGATAGCCCCTCACTACACGTATCTCTATGTGAACAACGCACCCAATGTATTCGTGGATAGCGCCTAGCTACACGTATCTGTACGGGAACAACGCTCCCAATGTATTCGTGGATAGCACCTCTCTACACGTATCTGTATGTGAACAACGCACTCAATGTATTCGTGGATAGCGCCTCTCTTCCCGTATCTGTATGTGAACAACGCACCCAATGTATTCGTGGATAGCGCCTCACTACACGTATCTGTTCGGGAACAACGCACCCAATGTATTCGTGGATAGCGCCTCACTACACGTATCTGTATGTGAACAACGCACTCAATGTATTCGTGGATAGCGCCTCTCTTCCCGTATCTGTATGTGAACAACGCACCCAATGTATTCGTGGATAGCGCCTCACTACACGTATCTGTACGGGAACAACGCACCCGATGTCTTCGGGGATAGCGCCTCTCTACGCGTATCTGTACGTGAACAACGCACCCAATGTATTCGTGGATAGCGCCTCACTACACGTATCTGTACGGGAACAACGCACCCAATGTATTCGTGGATAGCGCCTCTCTTCACGTATCTGTATGTGAACAACGCACCCAATGTATTCGTGGATAGCGCCTCACTACACGTATCTGTACGGGAGCAACGCACCCAATGTATTCGTGGATAGCGCCTCACTACACGTATCTGTACGGGAACAACGCACCCAATGTATTCGTGGATAGCGCCTCTCTACACGTATCTGTAGGTGAACAACGCACCCAATGTATTCGTGGATAGCGCCTCTCTTCACGTCTCTGTACGGGAACAACGCACCCAATGTATTCGTGGATAGCGCCTCGCTACACGTATCTGTACGGGAACAACGCTCCCAATGTATTCGTGGAAAGCGCCTCTCTACACGTATCTGTACGGGAACAACGCACCCAATGTATTCGTGGATAGCGCCTCTCTACACGAATCTGTACGGGAACAACGCACCCAATGTATTCGTGGATAGCGCCTCTCTACACGTATCTGTATGTGAACAACGCACCCAATGTATTCGTGGATAGCGCCTCTCTTCACGTATCTGTACGTGAACAACGCACATAATGTATGCGTTGATAGCGCCTCAATTGACGTATCTACGCCTATTATCTTGTTTTCTTTGAACAGCAGTCCGATCCTTTGTAAACCTGACCAAGCCGTTAACAATGCATTTGCTAATTCAGTGACAGTTACTCACCTGTTTAACCTCGGTTTGCCGGCACCCTGAATGTTATGATAAGAGATTAAATGAGCCAATTCAGATGTTTATCTAAAGCATAGGAAAGAGGAGGAAGTACCGCAATGTGGATAGCGGTATTGAGAGGGAAAAGCAGGAGTTGTTGGCAGGGCTCAAGTCACCAACAGAATATGCTGATTCTGTGGCAAGATTTATTGGTTTGTGAGTTAAAATGTAAGTGAAGTGTAAATAATTAATTTAATTTCTGACTTTAAGTTTATATATTTTGTAAGTATGAACACATGTATGATTTATAATGTATGCTGTATGTACATG